ATAGCCACGAGAGGGAGGGCAGATCAGATGGAAGATATCGGACGTGGGTGTGGCAGGACATGGGATAGGTGTGGTAGTTCGGAGAGGGGTGGTCGTTTTTAGTCGTGGGTCGTTGCGGTTGGTAATGGTTGTGGAGGATGTGGTCAAGTCTGTTTGTTCGATCAAGGGTCGACGAGTGGAAGGGTCGTGTTCGTTAGTTAGGTAAGTTGCCTTAGGTAACTAAGTTCGGGTTTTGGCTGGGTGGTGAACTCTTGGCATGCTTGCCCGTATCGGGTTAGCCTCAAACACAGGCGCCCGTCGCCTTTTCCCCTTGGCTGGCGGTCACGTGGAAGCTCCGTCATTCCAACCTTCGCAGGGACGCATCCCGAAGGGGGGTATATTTATGTCATTCTACATTCTACCGCTCCATCCATGGGGACTCGGGAATGTTTTGATGTACGCGAGGATATGCATGCAAATTGTCCGGAGTGGGCTTACTAGTTGGCGGTTTATTCAGCTAAAGAAAGAGGTTCCCTTTGAAACGCCCTCGTGGAGAAATATATTGCTTACAACCCCACTGCCTAGATCTATGTATCCACAACATGATATCATAGCGGTTTTAATGTACCAAAAGGAAATGAATAAAAAGAATGGAAACGAGCTTATTCTCTAGATTATCCCGTTAGGCCTCTCATACGGCACCTGCACAGACTTGATCCGTTCATCTATCCATCCACCCTCTCTTTTATCGGGTGGCCAGTCGTAAAGTCCTAACATCAACTTCACAAATGTCTCAACCAGTCCGTTCTCGGGATCGCAATGCCCCTTGGTACTCAATCCCTGCTCGAGAGATTGTCAGCGTCGAACACCCATGCTTCGTGAAGAATATAGACAAAGCCATTGAAACCCTCGACGGGAAGAGTGGAATATCAAGGGCAAGCAAGCCGAACTCCTACACCCTCAACAACCCCCATATCCCCGTCCTATGCTATATGATTGATCCACGCAACTAATATATCACCGTAGATTATAAATCCCCCTCGTCAGGATGCTTCTGCCAACTTATTCCTATCTCCGGAGGATGGCATGAGTAGACCCTTGTCCTCAACTTGCAACTCGGCAAACAATGTCTTGCTGAAGATTACCCTCCCCAGGAGGACTGGCCGGAAACGAAAACGTGGTTCAAATGAACCCTTCACCGCCACGATAATGCTTCTATGTCTCCTACCGCCGGGGGGGTTGATAAACCTTCTAGTTCTGCACCCCCTTCCCGGGCCCTAAGTGCCTGTGACTTGCTTCGACGGTTGCAGGATAACGTGGAGAAATATGAAGTCGAAGCTGTTGGGCG